TTGAAGAATTCACTAGAGTTAATTTTTATGTTTCAAAACTTAATTAAACTTTAGTTAAACACTTTGTTTGAGAACACTTCTTGATGCTTTAGCTTTTATGTCTTTTTACTATTTTAAAAAAATATAAAATGTTAATTAAAATAAATATTAAATATATTAAATATATTTCATATATTTTTTAGACATTAAAGAACCAAAAAGCCTATAACTGCAGCTATAGAGTATCGTTGTCAAACTAAACCTAAATCATATATCTAGAGTTCATTTCCTCTTCATTTTTTGTCTCTATAGAAGTTGATAATTCTAAAAAACTAGTTAAGCTCGTAACAAAGAAGCCAACATAACTATGACTTCTGAAAATTTTGGTGTACAAAAAATCAATTGTAGGATTGCACTAGTTTCATTTCACTCAATAAGATGTAATGGCCAGTATTCTTGAACTTGCCAAGAAACTAAAACACAGGCATTAATTGATAATGTACAAAATTGACTTTGAAAATTCTCATGTAGAAAAATTCAGTTGTGGGGTTGCATCAGTTTCATTCCTTTCAATAAGACAATAACCTACTGCAATAGTCGGTGTTTCTGAACTTGCCAAGAAATTAAAACCCAGTCATTATTTGGTGAAGTGCATTTTGTAATTGATTTTCAAAGTTCTCACGCAGAAAAAAACAGTTGTGGGGTTGCACCACCTACTAGTATTAAACTGAGCAAAGACTTTCTCATCTCTGCTTGTCTCCTTATGGCTAGAATAGGGCTCCTCATTGCAGCCCTTCTTCTTGTCATTTCTCATGAAAATTGCAATGCCAAAGCAAGCCATCAATGTCCAGCTTCTTCTTGTGGCAATATTCTGAATATTCATCATCTTTCTGATTAAGCACCGATCCACCAAAATGTAGAGACCTAAAGTATAAGTATAATCTATTCTTGATGTGAACCCCAAAAAGTGCAATAAGAACAAAGAGATTCAAAACCACAAGGAAAGCCAAATAAGATTTATAGAAGACAAACTTTGACCTGTTATTTATATTGAAACAAGAACAAAAGATATAAAGGAATTCTGATGCCACACTCAAAAATGATTAAGAACGAGAGTAATAAATCAAATTAGAACGCCACAAAAATAATCTTGATAAATTTTGTAAAGTTCGCAAATGAACCAAGAGAAAAGTTTCTCAAATAATCTCATATTCAATTAACAATCTCCAATTACAGTTACAACCCTTTAAATAGCTAAATTAGGCCAACTAAGAATAAGAAATTAGATTTATACACAAATCCAGTTAAAAGCAGAATTGGATGTACACTACTTCTAAAAATGTTTAAATTTATGTTATTCCTAATAAGACACGAATTAGATTTTCAATTAAAAACAATTTTTAGCCCAAATAACTCATAAAAAACACAAATTTAAGTGAAAATAACATACAAATCATTCAAAACAACTTAAAATAATGCAAAATTTCAGTTCGCGACATTGTAACAAAAGTGTGCATTTGTGGTCGAATTGAGTGATTTCAATCCAAATTGTGTAATTTAGTCAAAACGACCTCAAATAAGTTGTTCTTGGACTTAAAAAATGTTTACTAAATCTAAACAATGCTTCAAGTTTTGATTCCCTTGTTGTGCGTTACTTTTAGCCTAAATCTCCTCAATAAGCGCATTTACAACCTTTTGTATCTTTTTAACTCTTGCTTTTGTTAACAGACTTCCATGAATATACAATGGTTCACTTGATGTCCTATGTGTGCTGTCATCTTGATTCTCATCAATTTTGCTTGAACACTGTCACAGTTTTACACCCTAATTCGGGAAAATTCTATGTGCAGGAAATCGATTATAATCACTCAACGATCAAAGTTGTGGATCCTGATGCTAATCAAGGTAACTATTCTTCATTACCTCTCTATTCCCTTGGCATTGATAAGGTCACAATAGACAGCGATCCATATTACTTTCATCCTGGAGAAGCTCATCATTTCCTAAACTGTGGAAAACCAGTAAATGATATTTGCTACGTGGATGCTTCCTCTTGCATTGATGCTACTAATTCGTCCAAGTCTAAAAAGGTATTATCATGCTAAGATTGGAAGAACAACAGCATTTGAATTAGAGAAGTCATGCCAGATTGAGCTAATGGTTCTTTGTTCTTCAAGAGAGATGAGTGATAATAACATTACCTACCTAGATCTTCACATGTGGACTTTGAGCTTTGGTGGTTTCCCTGCCCTTCTATATGGATTGGTACATAACGAACATATGTTGCCCGTTGATTAAACACATGCAAATGCAACTCGCTAATTTTTGTTCCTTTTTTTTTTTTTAAATGAACTGTATGCAAATTCAATGTCTTGCTTCTCTCTGATTTTGGTATATGGTATCTTTTGCAGTTTTGGTCATGCATTACACTTATTTAT